TAGTAATTCACAGACACTAACTTTATACAAGTTTTCGGTTTAATGCCAAAATATTTTTACTGGATAAATGAGTATAGTGTTTACTACTTGTAATTTTCATTTTATGGAATATCATTTTAAAATTTAATTAATAATCAATATTTTTTTATTTTTTTTATTAAACTACACATCAAACAAATCAAAGCGTGACTACTTTTCAACGGACCATACAATAATCTTATAAGCCGGAGCCACCAGTCACGGTGATCAAATGAGTGGCGCCGGCAAGTTCAGATCAAACATAAACGGCTTCTTCGATGTCCTTAATTTTCGATCTTCCTCGCTATCTAAATTTACACCATCATTACCACTGGAGGGATGATAAAACAACGCAGAAAAGTTACTTTGCACGTCTTTCTTCTCTACTACCGGCGGTGAAAATGCGGTGAGGCTGACGCAGAAGTTCATCTTCGCCTTCGCACCACGGAGGCTGAAGGCGGCTTCGTCGTAGGCTCGAGCGGCCTCCTCCGCCGTATCGAATGTGCCTAGCCACCGCCGACTTTTCTTCCATGGATCACGAATCTCAGCGGCGAAGCGTCCCCATGGCCTCTTACGTACGCCGCGATAGTGAAATTCCTTTCGTGGCTTATGCTTATGTGATGGTGGCGCTGGTACTGTCGGTGTTGTTACCGGAGCTTCGTCCTTCGTCGCGTCGGAGAATAGGTAGCGGCGGTGATCGTCGTGTAGAGTGTCGATCACCATTGGTTGTTAGTAGAGAGAGAGGAAGAGAATCAGTGTCAGGTATGAAAGGTTCCGATGTGTATTTATACTCCGATGGGATTGCCTGTATTGATGGAGACATGGTGGTTAATTTTTCTTTATTCTGATCTTTACACGTTTCGAAGTTCTAAAATTTTGCCACATTAATATCATTTATTCTAAAAAGAACATTAAAGTTTCTATTTTTTATCAAATGGACACTAGAGTACTTTAGTCAACAATGGTTGTCAAACTTGATTTGCAAATGCAAATGAGCGTAATACCCTTTCCTAATGCTCCATGCGACCTCCATTTGTTCTGTAAGTAATTTTCTTTTATTTTCATCATAGGGTTTTTTTTAGTAACAATTGGCTGAAAAGTTTAAAGATATCCTTTATTTCTTTTTAGAACTTCAAGCCATTTTGAGTGTTTTAATTTTCAAATGATCATCACTAAGGCTAAGGGGAGTGGTACTCTTAACATCTTGCCACATCAGATTTTGAAATGTCACCTCATTTTTTACCTTTTAGCATCTAATCTTAGCATTTGGTAAGGAGTGGTAACACTCCTAGCACTTTATTTTTATTTTATTTTTTATTTTCTTTTTCTAATTTAATTAAATTACTTTATAAATAATCAACCAACATTCAAATAAATTACTCTTTTTTAGATTTGAAAGAAATAAGGTAGCTCCAAATTTCTTTCAGATTTTTTTTTTTGGAATGAAACAAAATACCACTAATGCGAGAACATTCAAATTTGATTGTATATCTAAGAACAATGCCACACATTTCAAAACCTCTTTTGACTTTTGTTAAAGTCAAACCATCTCTCACATTTGAGATTTTGAACAACATGGAAAACTTTGCTTTTATGCCGAAAATGCCCTCGTTCATTTTGGAAACTACCCTTGATAGTTGATATCGTCATTTCCCTTTGAGGGTATGAATGCTTAAAACCCCAATTAATAATTGCTATATAGTATATACAACAAGCTCCAATCATATCTTTTTTAAGATACAGAGCAACTATTACTCCATTATCCATATTAATTAAACTCCTCAAAAAATGGATTACACATACTATATTCTTACTTAACCGCCATCATAAATGCAATTTGAAATTGTAAATATCAATCAAGATCATTACAGTTCATTAATATCACATAAAAAGAAACTATGCTTACATGCATAGTATGTGTCTTCCCACGGCTTGTTACACCATATGCAAATAAAGTTCCTGCATTTGCAGT